GATACAATAGGGTTCCATGCTCCGATGGAGACATGGAAACGCTGCTGCTTTGCAGCTGCGTTACCCTGCTTCCTCGGGCTTGGACCCCTAATAATCGTTACATAGATAGCACTTTGTGTTTTTACTTGCATTTATGAGATTTAAGTTGGATTTAATTGTTAGATGAAAATGTTGCCAAAAGTCKATTAGAAGACTGATAATTAAAGTTTGTGTAATTCTGCGTTTTTTACACAACAGTAACATTTTTCACTGAACAAAACTGTTTATGTCATTCGAGTTAGTTTTAAAACTGAAAGTCCTCAGCAGCTACAGAAATGGAGTCTAATAAACAAAGGTCTATGTAAAATGATGTTTGTTTAATTTGGCTTATTTTAACTTTGCAAAGTTTCCTTAAAAGGAACCACCTTAAGCTGTGTTTTTAGGGCTGCATAGAAATTTACAAGAAGATTCAAAAACAGTTTAAAATACAGTTTTGAGACAGTATGTTCAAAAGGATTTTAAACCATTGATATATTCTGATTTTGATATATAAAAATATATAAAGTTTATTTCAAAGATATTTTCCACTTACAAGATTAACGGTCTAACAAGCCTAAATAAATGTGCAGCAGCCTTTCATGCCAGACTTTTACTGATATTGTCATATTTGAGGAAGGTTGAAATATGTTTTTAACATACCTTTAAAAAACCTTAATGTTGCAAAATCTGAAGCTCATAGTATGTGTTGTGAATGACTGTCAGCTAAGACCACAACAATATTTAGATAAACATCTGCAAAACTAAATGAGTGATTGCTAATTGTGTTTTTTCAAAGTCTATGGTGGCCTTCTTGTATTGGTTTGGCTCCAAAAGTAAAGCTGATAGATGTCCATCCAATGATTACATTTTGAAAGACTCATTAAATGTATCCAGTCATCTACGAGATATTTTGCTAACACATAGAGTTGACTCCTAGATCTTTTGAGATCTGTTAGCATTTAGAGTATGTGTTGAGGACCATTCTCAACCACTTCCTTAGCTGAATATTGTTGTAAGTAACTGACATGTAGTGATTTTTGAGCTTGCTAAGTTTGATTAGCCGCGGCAGCCATCTTGAATTCGGCTGACTCSAAAAGGTAATCAGCTGTAGATGCATATCGAACAATTA